AGCGACCCCACACGCGCCCGGGCTCGATATATGCATAAAAAGCAGCGTACCAACAGGCATGCCAGAGCTGTCCGCCACTCTCATGAGATGAAAAGCACTCGCAAACACGGCCGGCCGCTCGCTGAGACTGATGCGACTGCGAGTCTTTGGGTTGGTTCGACGACGGGCGTGGCGGCTCTTTTCGCTTCACGCTGGGTCTGGTTGTTGTACAACACACTAGACGGGTACGTGCGAGACTTGCTCCCAGCGACGTGATTGCTGTTGCTGACGTCTGCTTGTTCTGATTGTGCGCGTGCTCGCGTGGCTGTGGCCCGTTTTCGTGCGTGCCGCTGGAAAAAAACCCGCGCCAGGTCACGCCAACACTACTACTACTACTACGCTCCTCCGCGCATTCGTTCTAGGACGGATCCTTATCCTTTGCCTGTTGTACAACTAGAGCCCGCCCGCTCGTGTTCTGCTGCGCCATGGCTGCCTCGCACGCGTCGAGCGAAGCGTCCAACGACGAACGCATGGCCACGTCGCTCAGCGGCCTGCCCGTGCGCCCACACGCCTCGCAAAACGCCAACGGCACTCACGAGAACGGCCAACAAGCGCCCGAGCAATATGACAAGGCCGCAAACGGTCACAACGACAACAAGGTGCAGAGCGGCCAGCTCAAAGATTTCCTCGACCTCGCCGTAAGTCTGGCCTACGTTGCAGCCTGTCAGACGCTCGTCAACGTCTGACAATCCATTGGTTCGATTCATATCGTCAGACAAACCGTGGAGAGAGCCCAGAGGACGTAAGCTCGGTGCGTCTTTTTTGGACGTCCGGTGGCTGCAACAACGACGACGGCGTGGGCACAATCCCACAAGGCGTCTGAGCAGTCATCAGCGTCGTCTGTCGCGAACTATTTGGCTGACCATTGACCTGCATTTTGCCCGGGCCCGCAGCGCATCGAAGCCAAGCGTCAGCTGCACGAAAAGCAGCGCGAAGCTCAACGCAAAGCCTTTGAAGAGCAGGTGAGCCATGTTCACGTCCTTGCATTTTCGCACGCACTTGCGCCTGCTTCGATGGCGTCCGTCAGCGTTCGTAATGCTGACTCGCGCCACTCACAGATGCGCCAGCTCGAGCTAGAACAAGAACGCGAAGAGCGTGAGCTCATGGAAAAGGCCGCAAAGGGCGAACCTCTGCCTCCGACGCCGCCTCCTGGATCGGACGCCGCCAAGAACGGCCCTGTCCGCTCACAGTCGGGCAACGACCTCGCATCGTTCGGCGGCGAAGACGACAAAAAGTCCAAGTACCACAATGCCAAGTCAATGCCAGGATCGCGTCGCCACTCGGGCGAAGTCAAGCCCGGCGCGGCTGCCGAAGGCGCACCCAACGCCACCGCCGCCGGCGCCCAGGTCAAGCGAGGCGTCGACGGACAGCCCATGCTCAACAATTTCTTGTTTGACGACGAGCTCGACGCCGACTTGCAAAGTGGGTCTAGAAGATTTATCATCTCGCGAACGCGGGCTGACTTTGTCGCGCAGACTCGGCCTGGGGCGGCAAGTACCTTCAAATGAATGCGGATGAGGACAAGTTCCCCGTACTGGTGAGATTTGTCAAAAGCTCGGTGAAACGCAAGCTAATCGCGCACCCGTGTAGCACCTCACTGGTCCCGCCTCGAACCCTCAGTTGTCGGCCTCGTCCGCAGCGCTCGACCTTGCGCCTCTTTCCAAGACGCCAGCCCAAGCTGGCCGCAACTTGGCTCCAGGTAGTCGTGCGCCCGGCACGTCAGAGTGGCCCGCGTTTGGCGAAGATGGTCCGTCCACGACCTCGCAACCGGCCAACGCCGAGCGCCATCGTTCGGTCACACTCGATGCCTCATCGCCCATTGGCGGCGCCATCAAGAGCCCAGGCCGCGGCGCGTCGAGCGCCTTGCCTCCTCCTCGCACTGGCATCGTTGGCGGCAGCCAGAGTGGCCGCGACAGTCCCGCAGCTGACAAGAAGCTCGGCGGTCTTGATGGTTTCGGCAAGAGCAATGGTTTCGGTGGCGGCGTCGATGCGTTGAACGATCAATTCTCGCACGTGAGTCTTTGTGGTGTTGTCCCCTCGCGTTTGACTGAATGGGCGCTTCCTCCACAGTTCAACATTGACACGAACGCGTTTACAAGCTATGTCCACGACCAAGGCGCGTTTGTTTACGACGGCAGCGCTGGCAGCTTTGGCGGCTCGATGGGCGCCAACCGCTTTGCCGGCCTCCGCCTTGAAGACTTGCAAGGCGACATGCTCCCGCTGTGCAAAGATCAGTTTGGCTGCCGCTACCTCCAAAAGAAGCTTGAGGACGGCAACCCAGAGCACCGCGACATGATCTTTAACGAGGTGTTCCCTCATTTTGCCGAGCTCATGACGGATCCGTTCGCCAACTACCTCGCTCAGCGCCTGCTCGAATACGCCACGGATGAGCAGCGCGACGCGTTGATCGAGTCCATCTCGGGCGAGCTCGTGTCCATTTCGCTCAACATGCACGGCACGCGCGCCGTACAAAAGATGATTGACTACCTGTCGACCCAGCGCCAAGTTCAAAGCTTGATCCTCGCGCTCAACTTGAACGTCATTACGCTCATCAAGGACTTGAACGGCAACCACGTCATTCAAAAGTGCCTCAACCATTTGCCCCCCGAGGACAACCAGTTTGTGTACAACGCCGTTGCGACGCACTGTATCGAGGTGGCCACGCACCGCCACGGTTGCTGCGTCTTGCAGCGCTGCATCGACCACGCCTCGGAATCGCAGCGCATTCAGCTCGTCACCGAGATTACCTACAACTCGTTGACGCTCGTGCAAGATGCGTTTGGCAACTATGTCGTCCAGTACGTTTTGGACTTGAACGACAATCGGTTCATCGAAGCCATCGTCCGCCAGTTCCTCGGCAACGTTGCCGCTTTGTCTGCGCAAAAGTTCTCCTCCAACGTTGTCGAAAAGTGCATTCGCGTCGCTGATGCGACCGGCCGCCGCGCCATCATTGACGAGTTGCTCAACAAGCAGCGCCTCGAGCGCCTCCTGCGCGACTCGTTCGCCAACTATGTTGTCCAGACGGCGCTTGACTATGCCGAGCCAGCCCAGCGTGCGCAATTGATCGAGACTATTCGCCCTATCCTACCCATGATCCGCAACACGCCTTACGGCAAGCGTATCCAGAGCAAGGTCGCGCGTGAAGATCACCATCACCATCGCGGACATCACCATCCTCATCACATGATGCATGGCGGTTACTATGGCATGATGCCGCCTCAGTACATGCACATGGGTCCGCCACCGCCTATGGGCGAATACGGACCGCCACGTGGATCGCCGTTCATGGGCGGCTACCAGCAAGGCCCGCCGCCTCACCATCATCAAGGTCCGCCGCCGCCGCCTCACCAGGGTGGCCCCCAAGGCTTTGCGCCGTTCCCGCCCCAATTTGCCAATGAAAACTTTGGCCACGGCGGCTTTGCCCACGCGCCTCCTCCCCCGCCTCCTCCTCAACAATCCGCTGGCACGTTCATGTAACAAGTTCACGTTTGTCGTTTCTTCTATCTCTTTTCTCAAAACAAGAACTCGTGGTTGTTGTAGCGCCCTGTCTTGCGGTCTTTCTTTTGTCGGGGCGCGGCGTTTCCCTTTTTCTATCGTGTCGGTCATCCGTGTTGACGAGAAAGAGCAAAGCAGTCTTCGTTTCCCCCTTTCTCCTGTGTTTCTCTGCTCGAGCGTATTGTTGAAATGACAGCCGTTCTTTTCCTTCGTTTGTGAATGCCTTTGGGCGAAGAGTCGATCGAGTACCATCAAGCTTTCCTGCAGTCAGAGTAAAAAAGAGCCCACCATTGATCAAATTCTGTCCGCAATTCAAAGTTTTCTGGCTGCAGGGATCTGCTTCTTGCAAAACTTGGCGTTCGTCTGCCTTCGTGATGCCCCGAAATAAAAGCTGAGGGTCGTGCGGTTTGGAGCCTGTAGAGCAGCTCGAACGCAAATGATATGCTCACTCCACGTCAACAAAAAAAAAATTGCTAGCTTTCGACTCGTCACTCGGTCTCGTCGATGCATGTCAGGTCTCCATCGAAAAGGTCCTACCCAGCCGTGGCCGCCTGCGGGAGCCTCTTTGGCTTTTGACACTACCAGCTTGTTTAAAAGGCAGCCTGGCGACGTCCAGCAGATAGAGCAATGACTGGGCGTCAATGTATGGTCCAGATGAGCTCCCCGGGCGTATCTAAGCAACATTTCAAGGATTCGTTGGCCGGCTCGAGCGTTTCTTTGGTTAACACAAAGCTGCCAGTCCTGGTGCTGTGCAGTTGCCTCTGATTCTCCTCGTCTTCCCGAGAGCTCTGAATGGCGGCAACAATTGGCAGTATGTTGCACCTCTGGTTGAAGCAAACGACACCTCTTCACCTTCGGTCACTGGATTGCCTCGGTGTGCGCATCTCGCGGGCAATCTGCGCATAACAGTATTCGTCGTACTGACTTACAAGATGCGAAACGAACCAAGTACTTGGTCGGTCTACAGCCTTTTTGTCCTTGCTGCAAAAAATCTTCTCCGTCTCGAGATTGCCTCAAACGGATTAGGCCCACACCCACTTGTGAATAGGACGACTGACGGCTGAAGGAAAGCTGTGCTGGAATATGAGCACGAGCTTTCTGTAACGTTCTCCAAGAGGGTGGTAGTGCAAGGAGGGTTCAGCAGCGATGGAGACCGGAGAGCAGCAAGAGCATAGTCTGAATTCCGCCGGATTTGACCGCTACGGACGGACTTCCATCTGCCAAAAAGCCTACGGCCATGCTCAATTATCAACCCGTCCCGCAAAAAAAAAAAAATGGCCATGATTCACAACAATCGCTGGGACAGCTCGTCAAGGGCGACGCTGTCAAAAGAAAAAGCTTTGACGAAGATGGGTTCCCTCCTCATGTCGGCGATTACATATATAGTGTCCGCAAGTGAGCTTTATGATTGAAACAGCTGTCGGTGATTACCACGAGCGCGAGAGGGCGACCGCAAAAAACTACCGTGACGTCGACGGGGATCGAACCCGCGACCTTTCCCTCACCAACTTTCCTGCAAAAACCGGAGGGGAATGCGTTACCACTTCGCCACGACGCCTATCGGCCGAATGGCCTCAACCCGGAATCTTTGCACCATATAAAGATGATTTTCCTTGCCACAGCGCTGCATTTTTGATCCCGTTTCCGCCTCCGCTCTTGGGTTAGTTTGACATCGCGATAGTCTTGCAATTCCAGGGCACGTAGATACAACAAAAGAGCGATCCACATCAATGTCGCCGCCATGCACATATGCTAGCGCCGTCCTAGGAAATCGCAAGCCGCCACGTCGAGCCGCAGCCACCTGCTCAAAGGGGCAATCTGTCGCGAACGCTCTACAACAGCCCCAACACCCAAAGCCACCCGATATACATCTACAACACGTTCCTCTCACTTCCCCGCGCAAGCGGGCCTTTCACGTGACGGCGCCTTCCGGCACCACCGTCACAGCCCTCCGTGTGGCCTTTGCCACCCAGTACCCCGACTTGCATCAAAGCCTTTTCTTCCTCCTTTTCTTCCTCGAACGTGGACACCTCATGTTTCAGGCTCAGTCCTCGGCCTCGGCCGATACTCTGGCGCGGCTTGAGGCGGACGGGTTCCTTCTGAACACGATCAAGGTTTCCTTGAGACCATCACATCATTCTGTTGGACCACTTGCCCTGTTTGAAAACTGAGGCCCAAATCATGGCCGAGGTTAGGCGCACATTGAGTGATTACGGCGTTGTCCTCAAGCTCGTAACCGGCGGATGCAACCAACCGTCCATGATCGACGGTACCATTCACTTCGCCGTTAGTCTTCCGCCCCTTTTCCACCTCGCCGCATGATGATCGAGTGTGATGGGCAGGAGTCCGATGCCACTGTCTACGTGACATCCCGTAGCTGTACGCAATTCTGTGTCTTCTGCCGTTCCACTGATCACGCTCGTTCCCAATTCAAAGCACGGAAAGTCATGAATCTAGAGACTTCTAACCCTGCAAGTCGCATTGGAAGACGACATTTAGTTTGTTTAAAAAAAAACTTTCCGCGAACTCCACTCGATACTTGATTGCGGGCGTTTTCTCTACATGTAACCTACATGAAAGCGACCTTGAAAAGTCACTGTGCTGCATTTTGGCTTACTTGCCACCGTGCTGGATTGATTGCACGCGACAGTATCACTCGCTCTTGGTGGCCCATTCGCCATGGCGTTCGCGACCCCTGAATCCAGTCATAAGACGTCCTGGCAGGAAGCTTACGGACAGACGTGAATGCAACATATAACTTGAAGGCAACGTGCTTGTGGTCAGCTCCAAACATGAAAGGCTTGATGTTCGTGGTCTGTGCGCGCGTTTGTGACACTCACGAGTGACAGTCCCCGCCGAGATTAAAGCGGTCGCGTTCGCCGCAGAGCTCGCTCTCTGCCAACGTCGCTTCAGACTTGCCGCAGCCCTACTTCTGCGAGCTTTCACAGCATGCAACGGCATCTCTGGCTCTGATTGTGTGCCGTCATGGCCTTCTCCGCGAGCCCGCGATGGCACTCCTGAATGTGCACAGCCTCTCATCGCCACGGAGCCAGAGTCAGCCTGCCTCTTGTAGCCTCCTGTCAGCGTTCGCCGAAGGCACAACGAAGTCGACGGAGAAACTCGGATGCATGACTTTGATGGCCAAAGTGGGGCTATGGGGCGTGTAGTATTTCCAATGCTGTCTAGGATGTGACCGAGCGAGAACATGCTTGTTTAGGTGTAGACCGAGCCATCTTTGTCTGACTCTTCACTCGGGGATTTAATGAGCTCGGACAGACTCCTGACCCAATGCCCCACCCGCCGCTCAAACTGCTCAAGCTTTTACTCACCACAATACCTCTGCGTGCGTGCGATTCTTCGTCGAATCCTGCTCGGTTCGCCACATCTCACAGCAGTCTCAGGTGAGCAGCAGGCCAGTGCTCACGGACTCGTGCACGCTGCGCGAAATCAAACCTGGTCTCTGACAGTCTCGCTATTTGGCGGGCGCGACACAGGACATCAAGGCAGAGAATTAGTGAATCTGACGCTCGGTGAGTCCTTTTCCAAGCCAGAGGTGGCTGCTTCAGAAATGGAGCCGCAAGATTTCGTGCCACCGAAGGGCTCGCACGCTCGCGGACGCGGTCTGAGGGCCAATCCAGCAAGCGCGTGTGTTCGAGTAGCATTTGACAGAAAACTGCCGATTTTCAGGCAGCTCACGGCATGTACAATCGTGCGGGAAACTCGGCTAAACGACCGACGAGCGAGCGTGCCAGAGATGACACTACTGGTGTGTGCAGGTCATCAAGAGGTCTTGTACAAGCTTGGCCAGTAAGTTTGCCTCCCGCAGAGATACAAACAACCCATAATTACTCGGCGACAGTCGACGCCCAGCAAAAGCGCCAGAAGCGAGCGGCCGTCGACAAGCTTCAGGACCGAGCAGAGAGGCGTGACAAAAAGATCAAGACCAGCTTGACTGTGCTTCAATCATTCGCAGATGCTCGCCTTGCTGCCAACGCAGAGCAAGCCGGCCTTGCTTGTCGCGTAGAAGCGGATTCGACCAAAGAGTCGTGGCAATCCCTCGATGGCCCAGCGCTTCTCAAAGCAATCCTGTACATTGTTACGCCAGCGTTCGAGCTGGACTCGCGCAGAATGATAACCTCAAGCCACCCGCTGGGTGCATACATTTCGTCTAACGTCGACGTGGCACGCACTTTGTTTCGACTTTCCCTTGACCCTCTGTGCGTAGACCTAGCTTCGCTTCCGGCGCTCAAAAGGAGCACCATTGGCTCAGAGGTGCTCGACGATTCGACGCCAATTCAATTCTACCTTCGGGTGTTGAAGGCGACGGTGGCGCAGCACCAAGCCTGGTCGACCACGTACACGCAATCATACCCGGCCGGAATAATACACGAAAAGTCTTTCTTAGCCGCCACATCTGGCATGACTTGCGACGCGATTTGCCATCGCATATACGCCGGGGTCAGCTCGAAAAAGGGAGGCGAAGGGCGCGCTGCCGAGGACGAAGGCAAATGCCAGGCGCACCTCTTAAATTTCGTCAAATCAAATTCATTGACCGTTGCAAGCTTCGAATTTTACGAGCTCGACCTGACCGGCGACGAGTGGGTGTTGGGCGGCGATACGATACTCCGTCTGCGGGCGCATCCGATGGCGTCGGCTCTCGAAGAGCTGCTGATTGCGGTACTGGGCGCCTCGCAGCTGAATTCGCACCCTGGTGGTCTGATTTCTAATTACAAGCCCGACCAGACGCTCATCGATGTGCTCGACGCCGTGAACAAAGACCTTGCTGCCGTCGTAGCCTCTCCTGATGATTATGCGCCGTCCCGAACGCGCCGATCGCGCCTTTCGCCGACAACTACACTTGACGACATCCGACAGAGCGACACTCGGCGCATCGAGAAACATGCCGACGACTGTGTGTGCATGTGGAACTCGCCAACGATCAGGAGCGGCCCAACATTGTCTCGCACGGCCATTCACGAGGTCAAGACGGGCGCCAGCGGACTTGAGTATGCACCGGATGGCTACCCTGTCAGTCTCAGGTGCCTCAAAGATGTGACGCGCGCCGAATTCGACGTCGAAGAGACGGGCTCGACGTTCTTCGGATCGCTCGCTGGCCATGGCCCCCGCCTGCACTTGGAAACCCTCGCATTTGTGCGTGATGGCATACGAGCGCCGCTCGCAGCTGTAGCGAGCTCGGATTCAAACCAGGTTGCAAAGACTGGCGCGGCATTCTTTGACTTTTGGATCGTCTTGGTTCACAAGGAGGTTGTCATTGCCATCATTCTTTGGATCCGCATGATCTTGTTTGTCGTTGAATGTCCGGTGCTCATCATCACTTCTTCCAAACTCGCTGCCCTCATTCAAGGCAACCTCGTCAACACTCTCGTGCCGTGGCCGGCGCTGCAACATGTGCTGCAGCCGTGTTTCAGTGATTACGACTCGACAAGACTACTCAATTGCCAAGACTCTACCGACAATGTCAACTGGCACGATCTGCCCATAGACGGCTATCTCGCCTTCGTTGGAACGTGCGCAGTTGTCGAGATCCGGCCGCTTCAATGGCGTCTTGTTATGTACCAGCTACATTTTGGTGCGGTAAGGTATGACCCACTGACGGCACCCGTCTACCGCCGGCTCTTGTGCCTCGTCGAAGCCAAGATCAGGGTCGCTCAGGTTCTCGGTGCAGTCCTTCGACCGGCGTTTGATCAAGAGTCTCTTCAGGCACTTTCCCGGGCAATCGATCACGTCTGCATCGAATCAGGCCTCGAGGCCGAGCTCTTTGCTACTCGTTCTCAAGCGCGCGACATCAACTTTGCCCTTGGGTCGGTGCGCTCAATCGCGGTTAGGGATCGCCAGCTTGAAGCAGACGTCAAAGCGCTCATGGCATCTGGGTTGGGCACAAAAGAAGCAAAAGACGCAGCTCGCGCGCGCCAATCTGCCAAAGACAGCGTTCAAATGTCCTCCATCACGCAAAAGTGAGCTGGCTGAGTCACTGATGCAAGCCTGCCAGGCTCACACACACCTTCCAACAGCTTTGTTGCCACAGCCGACCGCGCCGAAGGACCACCGCGCTCAGAGGCTCGCCGTCGCCAAATCGATAGACTTGCTGCAATCCCAGGCAGCCCTGCCCCTCTTGGACTCGATGTCGGCTCTACCCCCTGGGTGGACTGGCTGATCAATGTAGAGCAAGACACTGTCATTTCGTGCTCTGCACGCGCGACGAACCGCAGCATCTACGATTACATTGGTGACGATCTCGTCAGGATGCAGCAGTACCAGGAAAGCCGTCAAAAAGCAGAGGCAGAGCGTCAGGCTACACTTGAACGCAACCCATTGACTCGCAAAAACCCTGTGTACCCGGCATCGTACACGCCCGCTCGTGTCCTGCAACTGCTTGACGATCCAAACCGCAATCTGTCCCGCGACAATTTCAAGTTTAAAGCTGCGACGTGCCGCGAATGCCAAGCATCAGCCTTTGCAGGGGCCGAATCTAAAATCCGCCACGTGTGCGTGTCTGATCCACTAGAGAGCTCGGGCGCGCAAGCTGGTGACGTTGGC